TCTGGAGTAGCATTTTCGGGTCGGGGTTAGGGTCCGGGTTTTTACTCTTTGGCCAAATCTCGTTCTAAAGCGCTTGACACAGGGCGTAATGAAACTGGGTCATCCTGGGCGGGCACTTCAGATCGAGGGAAGAACAAGGTTCAAAGGGGGGAAAAGAATAAGGTTCAACACGCTTTGCAGAGATAAGGTTCAGTTTTTGGTCCGGAGAAGGCTCTCTTTCGGTGATCCCGGCTCCACTTCAGCGCATTTCTGCTCACAGCAATCCTCGCCTAACACCGTCTCGCTCCCGTCAAGAAAGATGGCCGCCGACCTTGTGATGAACTCCCGCGCCACCCTTCTTGTGGCCGGCTGGAGAAGCGGGGAGCCTTGGTGGACGAGTTCACCAAAGAGCTCTGCCACAACGCCACAGCGAAAAGTTGAAAATAAGGTTCAATTCTAAGAGGAAATCACTTTTTGGGGGCAATCTCGTTTCTGTCTCTGACAGGACTTCGTCTCCTTCTTGGAGAAGGAGGTGGCCTCCAAGGGGTCACCGATAATCCAGTCCGCCTCTCCTGGAAGTCGAAGGCGGCCAAAGCCCTTGTCAAGAAGGCCGTCAACATGCACCCGGAGAAGGCGGCGTTGCTGGATTATCTGGTGGCCCAACACCCGTGCGGCACTGGGCTGCAACTTTCGCTTGCAAAGGCCTGTCTTTTCGCGCTCTCACGGTCTCTCACAGCATGCTGAGGCGAGACTCTTCAGTTTCTGCCAAGCCCACCAAGCGGGCCAAGCACCTGTCCCGCATGGATGAATTGGGATGCCAGAGCTCCCCCTTCAGCTTTTGGAGAATGGAGCTTTTCACCAACCACTCCCCCCCACCCCTTGCCTGCCTTTATCCAGCCGCTCCCTACCACCCCCCCCCCCTCCTCGCCTTTGATAAGCATTGGGAATGGAGCTTTTCACCAACCGCTCCCTACCCCCACCCCCGCTCCCTACCCCCCCCCCCTCGCCTGCCTTTGGGGAGCATTGGGAATGAACCTTTTCACCAACCTACTTCTGCATAGGATCATCAATTCGCAAGTGGCTACAGTCAAACAAGTTGAAAGATGATTCCCTCCAGTCACGCAATAAAGGTGCGGGCAGGAACCGCCTTTTGGATGATGATTCGCTTCAAACCTCCAGATATCTCAATGCCATGGTCAAAAATGATGGTCATCCACCGTGTAGGAAGGATGCACGCATGTGGGCCGCTGGTAGGTGCTGGCAAAAAAAGTCCGACAAGTAGGAATTGTCACATGACACCATGAGAGGGATGATGCTTTGAAAGCCATGGCGTTGCGCCTCTAGACGAGAGGCTTGTCAAAAAAAGTGTGGGCCGCCTTCTGGACCCTGGTATCAATTTGTGGTGGCTTCTCAGCTTCAGGACTACGTGTTTTTTTGGTTCCTGTTTTTTGCTTAATTTTCGGGAGGGGGGGGAGAATGCCGGTGCATGCGCAGGTACCAAAACCTTGACACCCAGGCTTGGAAGTGTGACTAAGGATTTCAATGCCCCAAACCTCCAGTCCTGTCAGTTGTTTTTTGGAGGGGTGCCGATTCAAAGTCAACTACCAACAGGGCGTTGCACCGTTTATTCATTTTTTTGGAAGGATTGTCCCTCTAAAATCAGCAGCCAACAAACCGGGGGGTCCCTTATTATTTGTTTTATTTATTTATTTTAATTTATTTATTTATTTATTTGTTTATTTATTTGTTTCTTATTTTATTGTTATCATTATTATTGTTATTGTTGTTGTTATTTTATTGAATTGTTTTTGAGGGGTACCCATTACGGTTTCTGGTTAATTGGCGAAGGACAACCAAAGGAAGGCTGATAATTTTGGGTCGTGCTGCCTCGTGCTGCCCTGTTCTGTTTGGTGGGGAATAGAGCTGTGAATAGAAATAGGTTCGAGTCTCCTCGAAAATGGAATATGCGGTTTCTCTTGTGACCTCCGAAAAGGAGGCCTTTCTGATTCGGCAGATCTTGGGATTGGGACAACTTCCAGATCTGACCAGCGCTTTCCAAAGCGAGAGCCATCCTTTCAGCCTCACCGTGAATTGAATCTGTGAGTATGGCACCTCCAAAATCTGGGGCCACCCCGAGTGGTTGTTTTCCTCTTTCTGTTAAACCAACCTGAAAACGGTAGCCTCCAACAACCACACACTCATCTTGCAGTCAGGCTCGGTGTCGTGTACGGGTCCCGAATTTGGGGTGTAGGGGCTTCAGGGTCTTGAAGACTTCAGGGATCCCTACCAGTGCAGTGATACACCTCAAAAGCCAAAAGTCATGCATCTTGTTGTGAAACAGATCTATGTCAATCAGGACGTCAGACAAATGGGATTGGGGGGCACGATTGTGGAAACTTAGGGCAACCCCCTTTGAAGTTTCATGGAAGTCGTAGGGATTGCCCACAAAGCTCGTTTCCCACAACCATGCTGGGGACCCTGCTCTCCCAGATTTGGGGACACCAAGCACACACACACACACAAAAAAAAAAAAAAAACATGACGTGTTCTATCGCCAAAAGGGTGAGACAACATCACTCAGTTTTTTGGCGCGATTTGCAAAGTCTTTTGGGCCTCAAGACTATGTTTTCTTTGTTTCCCTTATTGGCTTTAAAGGGAACCGATTTCGCTATTGGATATTTGTTTTTTTCCTTTCCAGGGGGCGATAACGCACATGGAAGCCCCCAGTTGTCCCAAGCGAATTGACCGGATCTGACCCTTTGGCGTTATTCGCAAATGGAAGGACACGTCGTTGGGCCTTTGTCTGCGGGTTTTTGACCACGTCTCGTCTCCAGGCCCAGGCCAGGGCGGCGGATTTCACGCCCGCGGTGGGCGATGCCAGCGCGCAGGCCTGCGAGAGACGAAGTTGGAAAGCGGCGAAGTTGGATCTCAAAAGGACAATGGAAGGGGGGTGTTTCCTCTGGAAAACACGGGGAAAACACGGGAAATCCTGGTTGTTGTTTTTCTTACGGGAAAAACAGGGGTATTCGAGGGTCTGCATCTTTGTTTTTGTGTTTTGATTGTGTTTTCTCGAGTTTGTTTTGGTTTTTGGGGCCATCTTCTGACTGAAAGGAAAATTGGGGGTGTGCTTTGTCTCCCAGACAGATGTGGGACCCCTCCCCGAACTGGGGTAAAACAAGGAAACTCGAGTCAAAAGGACTATGGGTGAAAGGAATGGGGGGAGCAACCATTTATAAATGGGCCTGTCTCCAAATAGGCATATGTGCTTTGCGAGCACCCTTTTCATAATTCAGGGGAAACTAAGGGGGAAACCACAATTTTGGGCTGTCCCTCTATTTGAAACATACCTGACTAAATCTGAACGGTTGCCAGCCATCCGGTTCCTTGGCTTTTTAGTTGAATTTGGCTTAGGGTTAAGTGGTTGGGTTTCCATTGAACCCACAAATTGAACTTTCAGTAGCTGAGGACAGCCCAGTGGTTTTCCCTAGTCCCTTTCAAACGGCAAAGGTTACGGGGCAAAGGTAGCTAGTCATCATGTGTGTTTCTTCATCCCCCTCGCTTGCCACCGGAAACTGTGCCATCCAAGCTTCCAACCTGGTTGGCATGGATGAAACCTTACGTCAAGAAAGGATTGGGACCCATGGGTTTTCCTCTAAGTTTCCTTTCAACCCCCAAAAACAAGTTGCACCCGCGACAAAGATCGCACATGCCTTTCGGACATGTAGATGGGTTTCCCTGGTAAATGGGGCATTAAGCCAATTTCTACACCAGTGGAACCCGTCCATTTCCAGCAAAACTACTTTGAACTTGTAAGAGTCTTTTCCAACTGCAAGTTTGGCCAGTGATTGCATTTGTCTCCCTCGGGACATTGAACGTTGCGTTCCAAACGAACCTAAACAGGGCACCTATGCCTGTGACTGGTGGAGAACCCACCCACTCAGATTTTTTTTCTAGGTCCCCCAGTAGTGCCCTTTTACCCTTTTTTGGGGGAGGGTTCCAACACTAAAATAGACTACAGAAAAAAGTTGGTACCAACTTATTCTAACCTCTCTACTGGAGGACCTAGTTTTGCTTGCGTGCCAGGACTTCACCTGCTACACCTGGGTCTCCTCGTCCCAGGCAGGCGGAGTGGCGGGCGAGAGGTGGTCACGGCTGCGGTTGAAACGTCTCGCTTTGCTTGGCGGGTCGGAACCCGACGTTGTTTTTTAGTTGGTTTTTTAGTTGGTGCACACTTTAGTTACTTTAGTTGTTGGGTTCCATTTATCCTGCCAAAAAGGAAACACGTTTGGCAGGGGATCTGAAAACGGACAGCCCAGTTGGTCAAACTTGTAGGGGATCTGAGGACGCCCAGTTTGGGGCGATGTCAGCGGTTTAAAGAGGGTGGTTTGGTTGTGTTTAAAAAAAGAGGTTCCTTTGGGGTGATGTCAGACGTAGGAGCCCTTCTTGTGTAACGTTTCTGGGCGTGCCAGGGAGTCTGTTTTGCGATCTTCAAAAACCCAAAAGCCTGAAGATAGTTGCATAAATTTGCAGTGCTCCGGGTATGCCACGCCGAAGGCCCATTCCCCGTACATTTTGCCTTCCTGGATACTTCTTCCTCAGCGCCTGGATATGTCCAACCTCAGGCCCTGAAAAAGAACCAAGTTGATGAGCATAGAAGTGGGAAGGTGCTTGAGGTAAAGGATTTCAGAAAACCTTACGATGGACAACAGTCTTTACAACAGTTTGCTTGCCCCGAGCCGTGTAGACGCATTTGCACAAAGCATGGCCAGAACGAGCTCGCTCATGATGAAATTGTTTCATCAAGGAATTCCTTGTTTGTGCTTGTCGAACAGAACAGTTGCCGACCAGGCCTCCAGTGCCATCTTTCAGCTTTTTTTGGAGGCCAATCCCTTTGACATCAACCACGACAAAAGGTTAGCAAGCACAAGGGTCTAGAGTCTAAATGATTAGAATGGGTCGGGATGATTAGAATGGGTCGGGGTACTTGAAACCATGCAAAAAAACAAAAAAACACGAACATGCTAAGCGGATACTGTGCTTCGATGTGCTTACGATTGTTTTGCGTGTTCCCCCTTGTCGGTTTAAATAGCACTATCACAAAATTCGGAATCTGTTTGGTGGTTTGACTCCGAGTCAAGCAAATGGAGGAAGATCAAAAGGATTGTTTAATCAAAAGGAAGATCAAAAAGTCATTTCACAAATATATCTGTTGGTCAACCTACAAATGACAGGTCAAGAAAATGCGAGTCATGTACAACGGGGCCCCTTACCTCCTTAGGAAAATCCACAGCTCGTGGGACTTGGACGCTTCCAGGTGTCCAGCAACGCCTGCGACCTGGCGACGCAGCTTGGCTGAGCCACCCCCCTGATTCCTGCACCTACCCGGGTGTGGTTCAACGTGTTGGGGCCAAAAATGGGACCCTGGCACCGTGGCAAATGGGAAAAGACGAAGACCTGTGGTCCACTGGCTCTGAAAGATTTTGAGCCACTCCCAATTTCAGTTCAGAGGCAAAACGGATTGGACTTTTGTCAATCTTGATCGGCAGTGAGTGAAGGAAACGAGGCAGCTCCAATTTGTTCGGGCTCCCTTGAGAAAGGAAGGGTAACTTGTCTGTTTGCCCTCAAAACCCTTTTGGGTATACCTCATTTTCGCCAGCAAAACAGCGGCTTTTTGGGGGATGAAGTCTGTCCAAGAAACTGACATCCTTTGTCTTGTGCCGCATTTCCTGCGGTTTCGGAACATAGGCTTGCTGAGGTGAGCCTTCAACCAATCTTCAAATCATAGGGCGAGATGATTCCCAAGAAATCAGGGACCAAGTTAGTTGGTGCATTTTGCTTGGATCTTAGGACTTTAACTTTTTGCCAACTCATGGGTTTTCCGAATTAAACCACGAAAAGTTAAACTTCTAGCAGGGGAGAAAGCAACCGAGAAGTTATTTGGGTGGCAGGTTCCAAGCCAACATGCGGAGCCTGGCCCAGCTCGCGCTGCAATCCGGGCGGTGCCGGCTCGTCGGCTCAGGAGCAGCTGCGAGTTGGCCATGGAGCGTTTGGTTTTCTGCGATGATAAACTCCTTGGTGGCTCCCAGCCATCCGGTTCCTCAGCCTTTTAGATCCTTTTGGTGTTTAGTGGTACTTTCCATTCGACCCAAAAGTCAAGCTAGTGGGGGATCTGAAAACGGGCAGCCCAGAAACGTTTTCACCGGATTTTGGCACCCTCAGCACATGGCAGGCAGGGCATCTCGACTGCTCTCACTACGATGAGGCCGTGACACTGGCTTCGAGGGCTTGAGAAGGGCTCTTAATCGTCCAGACTTATCCCTCTGCAAGTTAACAAGGAACCACCAAAGGAGGTCCCCCAAACGAAAGCTCCTCTACTGATGGTTTGGGTTTCAATTGGGTTTTGTTGGGGTTTGAAGGGGGATGTGAAGCTTTTGGTTGAGTTGACTGCCGTGCAGCTACGTGGCGTCATTCAAGTTATGGATGTTGGTTCTTTCGTTTTTTTTAGACATGCCTGGTGTTTAGCCGGTTTCGATCACGATCCCAGATTTGATTTCAGGGTAGAGTTGAAGGGGATGGTTAGTTCCAAAAGGAGAAGGAGGGGTTCAGTCTTTGCCAACTCAGACTGAAACCATCACCAGAACCACTACAATAGGTATCACCATCAGAAACCACCACCAGAGACCACCACCAGAACAACTAGAAGACAGGATTTCGGCAAATCAAACACTCGATCCCAGAAAGGTCCCCCAATAGTGCCCTTTTACCGTTTCTTTTTTGTTGTGAGGGTTCCCCTACTCAAATAGACGTCCTGAAATAAAAGTTGGTGCCCTTATTCTAACCTCTCAAATCTGGAGGAAGCCGAGTCAAGCATTCAACCCAAGAGATGACTCAAATAGGACGCAAATCCCCCTCCCCAAATCCCCTAACCCTCGCCCGCCCCTCCACCAGACCTCGCTAGGCTCAAGGCCGTGCCTTTCGGGCCTCGAAGATTCGGATCCAGGTCGTCCTGGCCCAGCATGCAGACCCAGCTGCAGGCGATTCGTCGACTCGCATTCGTCGCATTCGGCGCCGTCGATGCGGCTGAGGGAATGCCGAGATGTAGATTCTCAGTTTAGCCCCAGAGTGACTTGGTGGCTCCCAGCCATCCACTTAGCTTGTCAACTTGTTGTAGGGATCCGAGGACAGCCCAGATGACTGAATGCGGTTTTAAAGCACAATCCCCATTCCAACATTTTATGCCAAGTGGGGAGACGTATGGGTTTGGTGAGATTTGGTGGGTTGGAACCATGCAGGCAAACGGTGCCACTTAGAGAGTCAGCTGGCTCCAAACCTGCACATGTGTGTTGTGTTTTGTAGGGAAGCCCTTCTTGTGCTTGGTTTGTTCAAACGAACACAAGAGGAAACCCACCATTTGGGGGTCCACCAAAAAGAAGACGCCCCTCTCCGATTTCACGAAAGGGCCCACATCCGAACGCGCAGCCAACAGCACTTCACACTGGCATTCGTTCTGGCTAAGCGAACGCCCAAAGGCACCTGCGACGCGAACTGAAGGTACCGCTTGCTCAAAAGACAGCAGACATTGCTTCTCCGTACAGGGTTGCCGTCGCCGTTGCAAACATCCCTGCCATATTTAGGCTGAACCATTGGAATGACCCTCAAGCACATTGGCGGCCAGTGGCTTCCGTCAAGCAGCAAGGGGGCACGCCACGCCTACACAAGATGCAACCATGTCCTGATTTCACCTGTTTTGTTTGGGGGGGTGGGGGGGGGGGGTTCTTTTGATGGGTGGGTGGTTTGTGGGGTGATCTGTAATGCTATTGGGTTGGATCTTTAGTCTTTCACTTTTTGGAATTCCCCTCATATTTCCTTTTAACCAGCAAAAAGTTAAACTTTTTGCCTTCGGGATCTACAGCAACCAAGTGATTGACACATCGATGTTTCCGAGCGGAAAAACATGCGAGGCAGTCGCAAGCCACCAGAGCCTCAGCGACCTACAGAGTGGCTTAGACTGCCAGGAGGCCGGAACCGCGCTACCGCGAAGATCCCGAGGCATCCTTCGCCCGTTCCGCGCCCTGCGTGGCACAACTGGTACTTTGTTGCATTTTGCCAACATGCTTTTTTGAGGTGTTGGTTCTGTTCATGTTCAGTGGGCTACAAACAACAGAGTTGTTTGCCAACATACCCAAAAACCCCAAAGTCTTAGCTGAACCTGGCAGCTTGCGGCCAAAAAATGGGTGCAGAAGTGTCTCCTTTGCTTTGCCTTGCGGGAATGTGGCAACGACTCGTGTTTCGGGAATGAACCGACATTTGACTAGGCTCTCCAGTGCCCTTTTCCCCCTTTTCGGTTGGGAGATTCGGTTCCCCTACTTAAATAGACTACAGAAAAACAAAAGTTGGTACCAACTTTATCCAAGCTCAACTGGAGGACCTAGGGAATGAACCGACCTCGCAAGTGGAGGTCTTCGATGCGTGGCAAGTGGCGCAAGACCAGGCGCGGCTCAGACCAAAGTTCGGGATCCGCAAGCCTCAAAGCCACGGGCTGCGATGGGAAACAAGCGGACCCAAAAAGTTAGTTCGGGGACCGAAACAAAAAAGGGGAGCTCTGGTGCCTTTTGATTAGTTGGGTCACAACCCTGGAAGGATAGGCCACAAGGGGCCGCTGGTATCGCCGTTCTGCCAATGGCCAATGGCTTGAGCTTCGCCAGGTGTGTGCAGGAGTGGCAGAAGCCAACGCCACTGGCGGCTTTGGCTGGCTGCTTGCTGGTGCCTGGCGCCCAGTGCCATGTTTGCACCTTGCGGCTTGACATGTGTGGTCGGTTCGACCTGCGCCAGGGATGGTCGTAGGCCCTTGAGTGGAGATGTTGGACGACAATTGCAAGGGGGTTCTAGTAAGGTAACCACGACCATGACCCACATGGGGGTTTCTGAACAGGACGGACCCCCGTTTTCGGATTGTGTTTTTCCCCCTCTTTTTCCGGGGAAGCAAAAGGGCGGACCTGGTTCTGCCCATGTTTCCCCCTTTTTGAGAAACACCCACAGGGGTTTTGACCCTGGCTCACATGCGGCCATTTCACTCCAGGCCTGTGGTTTCGTGGGCGCTCTTGGCCAGTACTGGCGGGGGCCTTCAGAACTTCAGGGCCGTCGCGCTGCACGCTGCACGCTGCGCTCCAACTTGGTGAAAGGTTCGTAGCATTCAATTCGGGTGCATCCATCCCAAAGGTGCGAAGGGAGGTTGGTCAAGTTTTTGGGGCTTTTGTCACTGGAAATTGCAGCCTTATGAACCTAGATGAACCTCGTCCCCACTGGGATTCTTTGGAAGATCACGGACCGTCCCCACTCGGTTCGCTCCTTGAAACGGCCGATTTTTCGCTGGAAGAAGTCGCCCAGGATCTGGCGGAGCCTGAAGGACAACCGAGCGCTCTTCCTGGATGAGCACGAGGACTTGAAGCCCAAAGGCCCAAACGCCAACCGCCAACCGCCAACCGTTCCATCTGCCCAAGAGCCCAGAAAGTTCGCGGAGGGAAACGAGCCGCTGGAAAAGAGTCCACCGTACTTTGACTGCTGTTGGGTTGGATCTTTAGGCTTTAGCTTTTTAGGAATTCAAGGTGGTGTCCACTAAACCCCAAAAAGTTAAACTTTTTGCAGGGGGGTCAACAGCAACCAAGCTTAGAGTCTACCAAAAATGGAACCCGCCAGGCATTCGTCGCTTGGGCTGCTTCTGTGCGACATCTTTGGGAGATCTGGAGACAGGCCTGGGGACGCTATTGACAGTCTCTCAAAGCAAGCCAGAAGGAGCACTGAGAGACCGGCCACAAGTTTGCTATGTTTCCGGACGTTTTGTAAATGTTGCAGCAAGCAAACGGCAGACGCGCATCTCAGGCCAGGCGCAAGAGGAGCTCGGCACTCAGCGCGAGTGCCCATTCTTTCTGGGTCCAAAATCAGTCTGCAAAGTCCTTATGTCACACGCTAGTTCTCCCTTGTTGTGGTAGTGATTTCCCAACGGATTGGGATTAGGGATCCCATCATGCTGAACCCAGTCTTGTTTCCCCGATTTGCGGAATCTCATGAGAGCAATCGGTGGTCAACCGCTAAGAATTCGCATCTTAGCCACGAAGATAGCTTGAGAAAACGCCAAGTGCCAAGTCCAGTAGGCTGTTGCCACTTAGTTCCCGTGGCAGTCCAAATGGCTTTTGGGCAGTGGTTGACCTGGTGTAATGGGGGGTTACAGTCAGAATTTGACCTCAATAATCACGTTGGTAGAACCCAAAACTAAAAAATAGGTGTTGGGTACACCCCCCTACTGCTAGGTGTTGGTGGTGGTGTATCTTGGCTATGCAAATAGCATTTTATTGGAACACCTTAAAACTGAGTCCAGACCGCCCAACTCCTGACCATTTCAGGTTCCACTACCAAGTTACTCCTGGAGCTCTCAAACATTGTTGTTTGGCTCACTTCCCGCAGAGTTTCCTGCGGCTCGCACTTCCTGACTTCATGGGCTTTGTACTTTTCGGAAAGACCATTTTAGCGGTAGATGCAAGAAAAGTTAGGCTTTTTTGTCCAGTCCTTTGTTGGTAAATACAAGATTTCGACTCTTTTTGGCCAGTCCGCTGGGGGTGTTGCGAGCTCAGGGCTCCCGAGCCAAGCCGGCACCCGAGACTGGGCGAAGTGGCTGGGGAGAAAAGCGGAGGGAGCAGAGGTGCCCCCTTTTTAGGTGAGTTTGGCAGGGCTCCTTAAATGATCTCCATTTTGCCGGACCATTTGAAACATGTGGCTTGTTCAACACCAAATTGAAGGGAAACCACCATTTACAAGGCAATGGCACTGGTTTAGGTAGGTTTTCTTCCATTTACCAGGGCCATCTATTTTTCCAAAAGGCCGCCTATTTGGTTCGGAAAGTGTCCACTTACCCCCCCCCCCCGGAACGGCAAATCAAACTTCCATCCCAAAATTGGTAGCTAAAGCCCTTGGTCTTGAAGCGGTGTTCAACCAAAACCGGAAGGTTCCCTGTGAACCTTTGACCTTAACAGGGGAAAGCTGGTTGCTAAGGCCAAAGTCCTGGTCGTGCCAAAGGGGCCAAAGGCCCAAGTGCCGAAGTGGAACGAGCGCCGGGGTTGGTTCTCTCATTCGCGCCGTGTTCAGGGAGTCAATCCCTTTCAGGCCCAAGTGTAGGTGAGCTTGTTTATCTCTTGTTGATGAGTAAGGAGGCTTTATGGGTGTCTTTTTTTAGGAATCGGACCCCCGGAAAAATGGCGGTGTTCCTTTTGGTTTCCCTTTAAGCCAACCCTATTCGACCCAATCGCAGGCGCCAAGAACGATGTGGCCAGCAAGCGCCTCGTCGAGCGCTTCGAGGCGGTGTCGGATCGACATGGGGCCCAAACACCAAAAACCAAGGGAAAGACTTGGATAAACCAAAAACTGGGATCCCTGCTTCGTTGGTTTCATTTGTTTGATTTGGGCGAAGGAGGTGTTTGGGTGTGTCTAGTTGAATCGATGCAAAACTAGCCTGGATTGGATGAAGTGAATCTGGTTCTTGTTTCTTTGTTTCTTGTTTCATCATCTTGTTTGGTGTTTCAGTGAATCTGCAAAACTGTTTCTAGTTTCTGGTTTGGAGGAGATTTCACTTCGCCTCGATTTCCCCGTTCCGGGCTCTCGCCTGGCAATCCCGCGCCGGGATGGCTGGGGAAGCCTGGGGTTCATCTGAAATTGCTTTGGAGGTTGGTGGCTTGGGGCCTTGAGGGGGCAATTTTGGTGCTTTAGAGCTGCTTGAAGCCACATCAAGCGGCGATTTGGCCATCAAAACCGATCCGGGAGACGGTGTCAAAGCCACTAAATGGAAGCACTGAATCACACATTTAGGAGAGGCTCCGCGTTTTGACACAATGTCCGGCTGAGTGACTGAAGAATAGGGTAATCCTAAGAATGGGTTGCTCGAAGTTCGGTTCCAATAGTCCACTCAGACCGGCCTTGGAAGCTCTGGAGCCCCCAGATAAAATCGGACAGCCTTCTCTTGACTGCTATTGAAATGGATCTTTAGGCTTTAACCTTTTAGGAAATCAAGCCGGATTTCCACTACCCCCCAAAAGGTCGAAGTTGTTTTGCAGAGGGGTCGACAGCAACCAAGTTTTGAGCACATCCGCCGCACTGTTCGCTTCCAGACTTCGGAGTGAGTCCGGTTTTTCCATTTCCAGAAGCTCAGGGCCTGCCTTCTCGCGAGGCAGCTGCGGTGTCGGAGAATGCACAAGCCTATTTACGCGAAGAGTGGCCTGGTGGAGAAGTTGAGAGGTGAAACAAGGAAAGCTTTGACTCAGTGCGCAAGGGTCTGTGTTTTTTTGGAGTTGGTACCCATTGTTGGGTGGTTGCAAACAAAAACCGCCATTGTTGTGGTCCACTAACGCAAGACACACCCACAGAGTTTGCATCTCGGGTTATGACAGTAATTGGCCCCCGAAAGAGTGGTTTCCCAATAGGGATGGAGGATTAGGCAGCCCAGGTTTGTTGTGCACCGCACAATTTGGGTGAAATGGAGTATGGTACTTGCATCTAAAGACTACAGTACATTTGCTTGAATACCCCATTTCCTCCCATGACAATTGGATGTGACTGTTTACAGGACGCCTGTTTTTAATGGTGCTGCCAAAGGGAACCGAAATCCACGTTCGGGTCCTGGTTTTTGAGACAAACCGGCCCAGGTTCTATCCAGCCTATGATCTGCTCTTTTGCCAACTTGCGGACGGAGACTTAGCGGCGTCAATGAATCGGCGATGCAAAGCCAGGACTATGTTGGTTGCCCCTGTCCTTTAAGCAGCCTCCTTTAATTTCCCCATGGTTCCCCTACAGCAAAATGTGGCTGAAGCACATGTTTCCAACGCTGGTGTCCTGAGCCTCATCGAGCTTTTGCTTGCCACCAATGTGGGGACGGTTTTCACGGTGGGTGTGTCTTTTTTGTAGACCCACAAACAGGAGCTCGATCACGGCGGATGTTTGACTCTCAACCAAATGTCTGCCTGATGTAAAGCCGTGCGAGCTACATAAGATGCTCGTAGGGGTACCTGGGACCCGTGTACCTGATGGTTGTCAAGCACGCGTGCACCGGCAGTTAGCTTTCACCGGGTCCGTGCTTCAGAAAAAGCCGACGAGGTGTCCGATTGTTTCACCCGTGGGCAATTTTTCGCGTCACCTGTTGGAACTTGGTTATCTTCACAACCCACCAGGACCCCCTAACCTATAAGGGCTCAAAGCAAATTCCTAAAGGTGTCCTCCTAGAACAACGAAATTTGGCTTTACGAACCCCCCCAATCCAATTATGTTTATCATTTAGACCCTTTGCGCTTTCAGGTCGGCGAGCGTGTGGCCGCGTGGAAGGGGTTGGGGCCTCACTTGCAATGAGACCCGATCGCTGGGGTTGTCTCAAGCTACCGCGGAAATGGGTCGTTTCCTTTTGGTTCCCCGCCCAGACACCAACCGGATCCGAAAAGCATTCGGACAAAGCCTGAAGCTGGAGCCCTTGCCCTGCAAAATACCTGCCAATCATGTGGCGGGGCTTTTTGCTTGCTTCGATTCGGCTTCCCCTTTTTGAATTGGCCACAATTGAGTCATCTCGGTCCCCCAGTAGTGCCCTTTTACCCTTTTTTGGAGGACCCTTCTTTGGAGGAGGGTTCCCCTACTAAAATAGACTACAGAGAAAGTTATTATTCTAACCTCTCTGGAGGACCTAGTCATGTTGGCAGGTTGCATCCGTGTAGTGGATGAGCTCTTCACTTTCTTCGGCCGGACGGTGAAGCAGTCAGAAGGGGCATGGACAGTTTCTGAACTGGGCAAATGAACGCAGGTCAAAATTAAACCACCAGGGGACGACAGGTTTTGTCCGTGTTTCCATTTACCAGGGATCCATTTCGGGTACCTTTTTGTTGACCCTGCCCCATTGCCAAGAGAAGCTGTTTCTTTTTTTAAAGCCACGAGCTCCGAGCTGTGCCGAAGGCTCGAAAAGGAGAAGGAAAGCCGAGGCTGGGGCAGTCGGAGACGTTGTTTTGAGCGGACAATCTCGTTCCATCAGCTGAAACGGGGAATCGCGCAATTCCACTATTGGTGTTGCAGGTTCAGGCGTATTGGCTTTGGGCTGCTTCTTATGGGTTTGTTGGTTGGTTACGGTAATATTGACTAGCTGCTATGGTACGTCTTAAACCACCTTTGACAAATGGCTGACCAATCGTTTGAGACTAACCTCATTTACGGTTCAAACCGTTTGCATCAAGCCGCATTGGTACAACTGCCAAATGTCAGTTATTGGCAGTTGCTTGCCATCCTGTGGTGCCAGATGGGGGCGGCCATCTCAAGGAATGGTTGGTCGGATTTGGTTGGGTTGAACTGTTTTTCATTTCTGATGAGAATATATGGGCAGCAAACCCTTTTGACTGATGGCTTGAGCCAAACATCCATTCGATGCCTGGCATGTCTCTGCATATGGCGAACGTGGTTTCCGAACACCCCTCCTTTCGCAGGGCTAGCTCTACTAGACCTCGGGTTCGAGGGCCTTAGCTCTGGCTTTGCCAGTTTCAAAGACTTGGTTCACGCTCATGTGCTCACAGACTTCGCGAGTCGCTTTTGTGAGCAAATCTGCAAGATTCTTGCGCGTGTTAACAGCTTCAAGCTTTATGTCTCACGCTACTCGCTAGATGCCGTGCCACGTGCAGCAGAACTATCTGACAAAGCAGTGATGGAAACTTTGATTCCCCAATCTGCCAACAATGCCTTCAGTGAAAGTCCCAACGCTGCTGCTTTGACTGCCACGTAATACTCAGATTCACCTGATGACAATGCTATTGTAGACTGCAGGTTTGAAGCGTGCTTCACACAATGTCTGCCTGCCATGCACACAATGCCACTGGTTGATTTGCGTGTAAGCAAACATCCAGCATGGTCGCTGTCACAATAAATGTTGATTTCCTTACACATTGATTGGGCTCTGAAATGCATGACAACACGTGGACATCTAGAATGGGTGTTTTGGCTGACAGTTGCCCAATCACGGCAAAGATGTAGGGGGTCCCTTTGTCCTTTGAAGTGTTGGATTTGATGAAGGGGGAGGTTTGTTCAACCTCCAAAGGATAGGGTTTATTGGGGACTGCGCGGATCGAACCAGACCCCGCAAAGAGGGGCTTCCTATCCCTGGTGATTGAATAAATGCATTTTTCTGGTCGCATGGGATGAGGGCCGAGGGAAGAGGCAGTCCGTTCAGGTTGCGTGGGACCAGTCCTGGGACCTGGGGTCCGCTTAGTGTGAAAGGTTGTTTCGTGCCGGCGTCGGGCCGGTCGGCTCCAGTACTTTAGTATAAAATACAAGTTGACCTAGTACCCAGTTGAAAATTCCAGGCCATATAGGATTCAGACCCTCCAACATGTGGCTTTCCCATGGTTTCCCTTTAAAGCCACCCCCAAAAGAGTGCCCTCCAAAATGCACATGCCTCTTGGCACTTTTCTCAAAGTGGGCAAGCAAAAATGGTGAATTTCTCTTCGGGTTTCCTTTTTCAACCTTCCAACCAAAGAGACGTCCGCCTTTTGCGACGACCTCGTCTTCGTGACATCCCTCGAGGCGAGGCGCCAGCGGCTCCGCCGGGGGACGCGCCAGCGGATCCAAGGTCGCTGCTGGAAGTGGAGGCCTCGGAGGTGGTGGAAGCACAGTGTACCTCGGTCACGCTCGATGAGAGCTGGGCAAACCTACAGTCTAGGTCACCCAGCTAGGTGCCCTTTGTTAACCCCTGTTTTGGGGGAGGGTTCCCCTACGAAAATAGATTACAGAAAAAAGGTACCCTTATTCTAACCTCTCTACTGGAGGACCTAGTACAGCCAACACTTGATATATTTGAGGGAAACCAAAAGGATGGCTGCTCAACCAATAGCGGTTGACATCTGCACGCCCGTAAAATATGTTGATAGGGAGATGGGGGTGACACCTGGAGATCTCCATTCATGCTATCCCACTTTCCAATTGGGGACCCCCCCTACCATGAGCATCCGGTTCCAGACAGTTTCAAAAAAAAAAAAAAACTTGGTTTAGTTGATTTTGTGGAGGGGGTGTCCATTTAACCCACTAACAGTTTCACTTTCAGCAGGGGATCTGAGGACAGCCCAGGCAACAAGCGGATTTCCATACCTTTGCTGTTGTTGGCAAGCTTTTGGTTTTTAGCTGTTTTGGTTCTGTGCATGTTTAGTCGGGGAAGGGGGGGCTGCCAAACACAAACTTGCTTGCTACCATACCGAGGGTTGTAAAGTGTCCATACAAAAGGCGACCGACCTTTCCTCAGGAAGAGCAACCCCGTTGTTGGCCAGACCCCAAAGCAGGAATATGACAAGCTGTTTGACCCTTCACTTACCTCGCTGCCTCGGAGTTGCGGCTTACCCTTTGGGGGGATCTAGGCGTCAGGTGAAACATGATGAACCCGATAAGCTTGAGACTCGATACTGCGAGTGGCCTCTCCAAAATGCGAATAGCTTGGTTGGGATGGATCAACCCAATTTCTGCGAAGTGAATGTCTCTACAGTTGGGGAAATATAGCCAGCTCTGGGGTAAAACGAGTGAAAATCCAGGATGAAGGTCCTTTGCCTACGGTTTTCTTGCTTCAGATAGTTCTATGCCCAGACCTTTGCCCTCCAAAACATGGAATCTCACTGGAGCCGCCTTTCCTGCGAAACGGGCCTTGCAGTTATTCGGTTCGGTAAAGATATCTCAGCTAAATTCACCCATAAAGCAATGTGGGTTTGTCTCAAACTAGGGGAAGCCTTTGTGAATTGCTGAAAAAAACGAAACTAATAGGAAACCCACAGGAAGGGTCCCTACTTTTGAGAACCCAATTCGGAGCAATGATGTATATGTTTTGGTGGGACCTTTCTAAATGTCTTTAGATGTGTTGGTTTCTGTGGTTTCCCTTTAGACCCAAACCCAAAGACGCATGCTATAGTGTATGTGTGTGCTGCATTTATTGCTGAGTATTAGCTTTACACGCGACGATCTTGCAAGTTCGTCACTGGAGTCATCGATGCTCCGCCAACTGGAAACTGCGAAAGCCAAATCCAGTGGATCGAAGGTACCAGTAGAACAATGCTGACTTCGGATCAGCCTGCCCAGACGCCGAGGGCCCCACTGCCCAAGTTCCCACCACCTTCGGCCTTCACCCCGGCCGAAACACACTTGGCGCTGACTGTTTTCCTCCTGACAACATTGGCGATGGTTCTTTGTTGCCCAGTGGCGCCCTTTGTTTCAAACTGTTTTTGGGGGGAAGGGTTTTTCTTTGAACCAAAACAAAAAAAGGACGCCGATTCTTTTTGTTCCCATGGAAATCCACTGGGCATCTGAGGGGTTGTCCCAAGCTGCACGGGTGCTTTGAATCCGTCCATCAGACAAGGCCCGGAGGGTGACCCGAATCACTGTCCTCCCTAAGGGCCTCGGACCGCCGGGGCCCGACGGCGCAGGGGGCCTCGGATGAAGCGAAGCCAGAGCACCGTGGTTTGGGGGAGGGCGGTTTTGACCCGGCGAAGCTTTTCAGAATTGTCATATTATTTTTTTCTGCGAGTGCCTTTCTGAGGTTTTTTTTGGAAGGGGAAGCAAGAGAATCGCCTTTTCGGCAATGCCCTTTTATGAGGCACACAAGAGTTTCCCAGTGATTTAATAGGAGCAACGGGCACTGAACATTCCCGGTCTATGCTCCGTTGGAGGACGATGCGGGCAGAGGGCGGGGGGGGGGGGGGGCAAAATTCGAATTCTCAGTTTCCGGTGCCGATCCCAAGTGATGCGGGTTCATCAAAGATCCATACAGGAATGTGTCGTGAAACGACAAATGGTTTGTGACTCATGTCGTTGTCTCGCAATCTGCAAAGGAAAGTCCGATGCAAGATTGCAACGCAAAATGTGATGGTGGTGTCAATTTGTGGGACGGCTCTATGACTTGGGTGGCTGGCATGGAGGTGCCGACCACTGATGCGGATGGCAACAAGTTGGACAAGAAGACCATGGCCCGATTGAAGAAGGACCGATACGTGGTTTTTCGAAGGCACCGATTGGTTTCACTTTGGTCGAAAGTGGATGCTCGTACCAGGAACAAAGTCGTATTCTGAAACTTTCCCGGATTCAGAAATTGGGGTTCAGAAACTAAACAGTCGGATTCAGAAGCTCGGATTCAGAAACTACCAGAGTCGGACTCAGAATCTAAGCAGTCGGATTCAGAAACTCCTCAGAGTCGGATTCAGAAACTCTCAAAGTCGGATTCAGAAACTCCTAGATTGGATTCAGAAACTAAATAGTCGGATTCAGAAACCCTGCCGGATTCAGAAACTAAATATATGGAATTCGGAAACTATATAGTCGGAGTCTGAAACCCCGCCGGATTCAGAAACCCCGCTCAGCACCGCGCACACGCGTGCCAACGGTAAGCACACCGGCTCATGCGGGCTTCACTTAGCATTGCGCACATGCGTGCTAAACAGTACGCGCACCCACGTGCGCGCGCTCAGCACTGCACACTCGCCTGCCAAATCGTAAGACCGCCCGCTCGCTTGCACTCGCTCATACGCACCCGCTCAGCACAGCACGCGCGCCTGCCAAATTGTAAAAACACCTGCTCACGTGCATCCGCTCAGCACTGCACACATGCCTGCCGCATCACTCAGACTCAGGACTGCACACATGCCTGCCAGCCAAATGGTAAGAACTCCCGCTCACGTCTTGCAAATGGTATCTGCACCCATGCCTACAAAATGGCAAGAACAGCCGTTCGTGTGCACCCGCTCAAAACTGCAGGAACACACAGACACACACACAGACACACATTCAGAAACACACACACACACACACACGCGGACTCCCGGACAAGCGGACACACGGACAATCGCACACGGCCACACGGACATGCGAACAGACGGACACACGGACACACGTACACGTACTCACGCGAACACGCACACACACACACACACACACACACACACACACACACACACACACACACGGTGTGCGCACACACACGCACGAGCGCGCCCTCGCACTCAGTCATGCGCAGTCGCACGAACATGCAGCGCACGAAGGCATACAATGGGAGCTCTGTTGCGACCAACGCCATGGCTCCCATCACGCCGGACTTTATGCCAGGCTACCGCTTGGTAGCGACTCAGGTCAGGGTGGCGTTGCGCGCTGGCAATCTCACCGGTGGAGTATGCCTCAGCCAGTAACACCTGAGGAACTTGGTTTGCGGAGGATAGCCGTTTGGGTTTGTTCCTTGAAGCCAGGCGCCATGGTGCATCATGATCGCTGCAAGCGCAGCCATATGGACATACATGCCGCGCAGGTGGAACTGGCCGTTCGCCCAGGACAGGGACATTGATCCCATGATTGCTCGGGTGAGGCGCAAGGCACTTGGTTACTGCGTGGGGCCGCGGAGGACCTGTGATCATGAGGTGGTCAGTGCTGCCGCAGCGACAGTGTGCAGCTGGTGCCGAAGACATTTTTTCCGATTGAATCCGGGCCCAGCTCAGCCAGAATCCCCGCCTGCAGGTGGAGTGAACCCAGGTTCTGATCCAGAAGCATTTGCTGTTGCGGCGCGATGGGTCCCCCGAGGCAGAACTGCATCGGCCTGGTTGCCAGCCAGAGGGTGCAGTATTGGCAGCTTTCGGCACGGGGGGTTGTGAATAGACAGTTTATGTTTGTGAATAATGACTTAGCAGACGCACTTGACCGTGTGCTTCATGCAGTTGTGTGCAGATGGTTTCCTTGTGCCAAACGCTTTGAAGGCCGTGTTTACTTCGTAACCACGATGCCCGTGGGAGTGGATTGCATTTGCATTGGATAGGGCTTGCAGCTGTGATCTTGCATAGCATGTGGACTCGTGGAACTTGGAGTTGCTTGAGTTGACATTTGCTTTAGACGTGAGATATCCTTGTGGAGCCTTCGGATGCACTGCTTGTATATGTCTTTTGCGTGCAATCTCGCGCTTGCATAGCAACTTCGAGATAAATTCCTGTGTCACCCATATCGGCGAGGCCCAAGCCCTGAGTGTGAACGCGCAAAATGGTTCTTGAGCGATTTCATCACGACGGAAGCTCTTGATATATACTTGGTATTGCAGAGATATTTGCATATTGGATTGGAAAAGGAACTTGGCGCGCGCTGCTCCCCGGCTTGCATGGGTGTGCACGAGAATTACTGTCTTTTATACGAGGTCATAACCCGAAATCGGTGTGCATTGCTCGATCCCACACAGAACAGACACTCTGAAGAAAAGCCATATACTTTGAAGGATTCTGGAATCAACATATCTTATAGATTGGGTTTGGTGATATCTACACATAGTTTGAAGCATATTTGGGTTCCGTGCTAGTTCGATTTTGTCTTCTCGACGTTGTGGACACCATCTTGGGTTGCTGCAAAGGTTTTGAAATCGACAGTTTATGTTCATTGCACTTTCAGTGGTTTTTGAATTTTTCGCATGGAAGCGGAGCTACCTGGTTCGGAGACGTACGGCAGATGACAGATCTCACTCAATTCTCAGATGCGACGCCTTTTGCTTTAGTGAGCTCAGCAAACACATCAGCAGACGCAGTGTTTGGCAAACTCAGACTATTTGGGAGCCTCCAGGATTGCTGTGAACGTCTTCGCCATCACGGCTCAGCAAGTCAACAGCCGGTGTGGTCACCTGGGAGGAATGTCCAGATGCTTCAACAGTTCAGAGGCCCTCGTAGCCCTCAACTTCGCCTCCCTGCAAGAAAAGCGGATGCTCTTGATTACCACGCAAGCGCCCACCAACCGCCGGCTAACAAACTAGACCGATTTGTCAGACACCACCCGAGACGCCCAAACCACCTGAAGCCTCACGTTCCAATCAACACCTCACACGACCTCTTCCCAGCGTCCCTTGTGGCTGTGGCGTCTTTCTTTGTCCCGGCCAATCTCCGCTTGGCAGGGACACACGCGGGCTCTTGCATCCAGAATCCACAATAGCCGTCCTTTCAGAACCTGGGACCTCAAGTTCCTTTGTGGCTTGTGGTTGATTCCCGACTGACTGTCAAATGCAATCTCGGCACAAAATGGGGGGGGTGTCTCGACAGCTGAGACAGGGGTGAGACAGGATTGAAAAAGCGGACACCCAAAAACAAACGCGGAAACCCGAAGATTCTGGGCGACACGTACATGGGAAAAGCCAACGAGTGCCACGAAAGTTGCAAAGAACAACAACATGACAAGGACTCATCCCATGCAAGTGTAAAGCCCCAGCCAACCTGCGCGCAGCAAGTTTCCGGATCCTACCGCCATCCACCCAGAACCAAATCTCCATTGGCTTATTGCGGATAATATATATATATATATATATTTAATTCCTCTCTCTCTCTTTCTCGCGTGTGCGTGTGTTTGTCTCTACAAAACAGAGAATGAGTCTCCAGCCTTGCGTATCGTTCGTTTTTGCGTTCGCATAGGACTTGTCCTTGCTCCAGAAGCCGCCCCTCGGCCTTGTGAGTCCCAAAACGTTCGGTCCGCGGAGGCAGAGGTAAGGGGCAGAAGAACGAACTCGAGCCACTTTGAAACCAACTTGTCGTTGGGGATGACTCTTTCAGCCACTGGATGGGAAGTTTTTTTCGAGGTTTAGGGCAGGCAGGTAGAAGGTCCCTTCAAGTTGGCATTCAAATTCACAGAGATGTTTCTTTCACGCAAATGAAAATGATAGTTCCAACTCCAAGCGGTTTTACAGGATTTCCAGGCCATTTCCCTTTTTGGAACCTCCAAAAGTGGCGATCGTTTCAAGGGAAACCACCAGGGAATTGATCAACTTTTGGTTTGGGGAGATCCTGTGAATTCTGTTGAACCCTCCATCCCCCAACTGTGCGAGCGAAACCGGGGCTCTGTTTCCAAAGGTCGTCTTCCAGAGGAGTCTGTGCGCTCGGGATTTTGGGCTGCTCTGCTCTCAACTTAGCACAGCACCGGATGGGGTGCAGCACCATCCGGCGGAGCACCCAGTGAAGATACGTCGATGTTGTATGGTGGATTCCCAAAACAACTGCCAGTGAATCCACCACATCCAACCTTTGGAGCGAACGAAACGTCTCTGCGTTCTCCATTGGGGCCTCGGTTTCCTTCACACCTTGGTGTGAATGCCGGCGGGGCCTCGTCTTGCTGGTGAAGACAAGCCTTGAACACAATACAGTTGGCTACAGGTTGCTCACTGGCAATATGTTGGCATGCGTCAGCCGGACTTGGACCTAGTGCATTTGCAAGGGCCGCCAAACAGGCTGTTCGAGATAAGGGTTCTTAAAGTCCAGATTCTTCGTCTTCGATTCAGGCACTCGTCTTACTTATTTGTGTAGGTCTGACCACGCTCAAAAAGGCCGGGCCGGTCACCCAGGAAAGCCCCTGCTGCGCAGAGGTTGTTATCGCCCGCCGGTTCCCATGTGGCACGTCATTATTTTAGGACTTAACCACGTATACAAGGAGCCAGGTGCCCAAAACATATCATCCCCATGTGATGATTGTTATTTTGTTATATGTGCTTGCTTGCGCATACATTGCACTACGTCACGCTACATACTTCTTGCCAGTTTCCCCGTGAACCGTTCAGCGGCTTTTGTCGAAAGGTGGGACAAGTGGCAGAAGGACAAGGCCAAGTACGAGGCCTACCTCCTATCGCAGATCCGGAAGCACTGCTTGGAGCGATTCGCAGAGGTGCACTACACGGCTCCTTGCCTCGGACTGTTTTGGGGTGCCTTCCCCATTTTCAAGAATCCTTTCCAGAAAAGCCATCGGGAAAGTCAGAATTTTCCGAGCCACTTCCCTTTTTGGTCGCAGTTTCAAGGGAAATTTATCAACCTTTGATTTGGGGAAATCCATTGACCCCTGAAAGGCCTAGAGTCAAAGATAAGCCACGCAGGTATACTTACGTGCCCCTTGGGCGGTTTCAACATCACCTAGTTTAAAGGGCACGTCGAAGGGATCCTGTGCATGAACAATTCACGACCCCAATCCCAAGAAAGAGTCTAAGACTCCCCGCCTTTTGAGCTTGAGCTGAAAACATCACCCTGGCCAGATGAGTTCGCTCGGGTGAAGCCTCAGGGGCCCTTGAGATGTTCTTTGCGCCAAGCAACTTGTGAAAATCAGCTGAGCTGGTACAGTGCCTATGAAGCTTGGTAAACCAACCATAAAAAGACATGAGTAAATCGGGAGGCATCCTTGTTGCCTTGGTACGAACCATGGCCGGTCCCAACTCCGCTTCCCACGATGAAGGCCCTCGCGGCCGAAGAGCTGCTACAAATGTTCTCAGCAATCCTTGGGGCAGGTCTTTGAACGAACGGGAGATGCTCAACGCAGGGCGTTTTTCCATGGCTGGGACTGACTTCATCTTTGGCGGCTTTTTGGGACGGCTGCCCAAACCCCGCCTCAGTTGTTGATTTTCTGGAGGAATTCAGGATGCTCTACCGGCGACAATCAAAGGATGTAGGCCTCACTGCATCGAAAGTTTGCTTGTTCCACATGCCAGATGGTAATGATTTCCCTTGTAGTGGCCTCATGTTGAACAGCCCAGTTGTTTGACCACGTAGCTCGTGGATGTCATAGGTTAAAGTCAGTCCAGTGACCAGAAGTTCAGCTAGAATAGGCACGAATCGCCACGCCGGAAACGCTCGCGAGGGATTTGGCGTTCGGGTGACAAAGGGTTGGGACAAATTGTGCGTTGTACCACCAAAACCTGGTACCATGTAAAAATGCTTGAACCCAAAGGATGTGTGAATTGGCGTTTCAACATGATTGAACAGGGCACGCTCAAAACGTTAAAACGTCCTAAGCTTCCATTTGCTTAAGAAGATGTGTTATGTTCCCTTGTTGGTCTTAAGGGGAATCTTTCACTACTGGAAATATGGTATTTTTTCCAGGCGGCTTAAGCAAATGGAAGTAAAGCATCCGCTTGTTTGATGCTGGATCTTCCAAGAAACCCGCAGACTTGTGACCGTCTTTTTCCTTCCTTTGGGTCTCCTCCATTTAACAAAAAACGGAAAACAATCTTTGAGAGTAGACCAAGTATGACCAGTACCCGGAAAAAAGAAATGAACCACAACAAACATAGCTTCTCTGCTCCCCGAAAGGTGGGCCAACTTTTCGTCCTTCACTTCTTGCCGCTTTGGTCCAGCTCATCTGGTTTGTATTGCACAGAGGGGGCAATGCATACCTACAAGTGGCAAACAAAATGGCTCCATACGTCCAATCCCATACACAACAAGGCTGTTGATTTGTGGTTGCGGAAAATCCATGGCCAAGACTGTAGCATTCCTTTTCCAGGTACGTCGTCTTGCAACAAGGAGACCCAGTTTTCCCGTAGTCCAAGCTCCTTTGCCATTTGCATTGCTTCTTTTCTAGGGCCAACCCAGTGATATTCAACCCCAAAGTGCGTGGTGGGTCGCAAAAAATATGTCCCTTCCAAATGATAGGGTATGGGTGTGTCGTTTCTTGAGGCTACCCCTTTGTTGCGTTTTTTTCTCGGAAAACCGAAAAGAAAGCCGTTGCGCCACTTTGGGTTCTTAAGAGACACACCCGTACCGTTTCGGGCGAGTGAGCGCCCAGGAGGAACTGGAACACCTGCGGCCCTTGTCTCCCACCTCAAGGCCCCCGATATGTCGCGGGCAATGGGGGATCCATTTAGATTTGGGCGTGCATAGATAGCCAAGTTGCGATCGCTTTTTTCAGTCACTGTTGCTGGTTTTTGGGGTAAAGTGCATGGAAAAAAGCAGCAACTGGCGATCCAGGTGTCTCTTTTTTTGCTGGCAATCGGACCGCCCGCCCTCTTCTTGTGTCAATCGGACCCCCCACCAAACAAAGAAGAAGAAGAAGAAGAAGAAGAAGAAGAAGTGTTTGTTGATAAACAAATGCGCATCGGTGTTCCTTCCAAGTTCCTGTTGATGTTGTTATTTTTCTTGGGGATCGAGCCCTCCAACATGGCGCAACCGTGTCCTGTTCACTTCCCTCAAAAAGATCCCACCGGGACCCACCTGGGATCATGGGGCAAAACCTGTGGCCATGTTCCCTGGACCCTTTGCTTATGCGAAATCTCCCATTTGGGCGAACCCCGAAACCGGAAATGGCGGCATGACTGTCCCATTTCTAGCCACGAAAGAACAGGTTGGTCCTAATTAGCAGGAACCTCCCTTGTAAGTGGGTTTCCCCGCAAGAGCGTCCTCTAAGAATTGTCTTTAGGGCTCCACGTTCTACGGAGGCTAAGGCTTGCCTTAGCGCTTCACGGTGCAGCCATGCCCGGCTCAGATGTGGACTTGCAGCAAAGGAGTCATTCACCCGAACGTCCACCTTTTGTTCCGCGCTCTTCGAAACCGACTTTCTGTTTTTCGGCCTTCAAAACCACTGGAAGTTCAAACGCGCTTTTCGAGGCTCAGTGCGTGAGAAAAACATTTCTCCAAACCCGTGGGCTCTCCCGGCGCTCCGCGCAGCCATGGCCGAGCTGAGTCGCTGAGCCCGCGACTCGCATGCGGAGCGGAGGTATGAGCGGCGGCGCCTGGCTCGCGCCCCAGTCCCAGCAACGCCAGGAGGGGGAGCCGGGGGGGCTCTCCAGTTCCTGAGGTGGACGACTTTTTGGGTTTGGACCATTTTAGGGTGCAATATAAACTGTGGAATTGTTGAATGGCACATCCGCTCAGGAAATAGGTAGCTTTTGGGTCTGGAGTTGGCGGTTTCCAGTGGGTTGTTAGTTGGTGAAAGGTGGTTGGGTTTCCATTCGTAGGTTAAGATTTTAGCAAGGGATCCGAGGTCGGTCCAGTGAAAATGTATTTCTTGTTTAGTGTATACAAAAGATGGAACAGCATCTAAACATTTGATTTTCAGTGTAGCCCAGATGTGGACCATGTGTTATCCAGCTGTTGTTTTTCACTTTTGTTTAGGCCTGTTGGTGGATGGGCCAAACAACATGTCAGTTCGGTCCTATTCATTGACCAGTTGTTCAAAGCCGAAATCTCTGGACTCCTAGGTGTGTTGAGGCTCGGTACAAAATAGAGGAAATAAGAAGCAAGCTTGTTGGGGCTCCAACTTCTGACGCAGGGTACTCTTAGGCTGCCTGAGTTCCTGGATTTGATATGTACTTTTGGGTTTGGACCATTGTGGTTCAAAGTTCCACAACTTCTTTTGGTCTGTTTTGGGCTTGAACCATTTTTGTGTTCAAACAGTTCGAGACTTTTTTTGGGGGTTATGTGTTTCATCGGAAGTGGGCTGGTTTCAAAACTTGCTGGTGCTCAGTAGGGAATGACCCGGTCTTGGGAGTGAACCTCGAGATTCCCTTGAAGGCAGCCATAGGGGATGGTTTTTTGGGGGCATTCCACGTCGAATCTCTCGAGCCAGCAAGTCAAACTCTGTTGCCCAGTGGATTCTGCGCCGGCAGGAGGGATTCCCCTAAGGTTCCCCTTAAAGGAAGCCAACTCGGGGGATGGTTTCAACTCGGGGGCCATTCCCTGCATCTCTCGAAAAGAAGTCCAAGCCATGGTTGTTGTTGGGAAGCATCTTACATGTTTGCTTATTGTGGTTGAGTGGTTGAAATCCAAATCCACTTCACTGCTAAGATTTGAGATTGTTTGTTCTCCCCTTCCAACGTCAACCAAGATGTGGTTGATTTGCTTGAAAAATAGAGGGTGATTCCTGGATTACCTGGCGGTTCAATCAACTACCAGGGCAACCCATCGATTTTCAACCCAAAAGGACATCTATGCCAAGAAGTCCAAGCCTTCAAAAAATGAATAATCAAATGTCCACGCCTTCGAATCGTCAGGACCGCCAGATCTTAGAGGAGACCATCCGCAAGCACAAGGCCGCGCAGCTGGCCCACGCCTGCACCGACATCCACCGTGTGAGAGACCCGCGGCCGGATCCAGTCGGCCGGTCGGGCGTTGGTTGCGAGACTAGGTCCCCCAGTAGTGCCCTTTTACCGTTTCTTTTTTGGGGGGAGGGTTCCCCTAAAATAGACTACAGAAAAAAGAAACGGTACCCTTATTCTATCCTCTCTACTGGAGGACCTAGGAGAGCTGCTGGGAATAAAAAAAAGGGGAACGGCTACGAGTGAAACGATCCCTGAGTTGGGTTGAGGCTCACATTGTCACTAATTCGCAGATTCTGTCCCTCCTTCTCTCTGAGAGGCTTTAGGTCTCACCACGAACATGACTTGATGCGAACGCGAGAGGTGATTTGGGTTCCTTCAGGGAATCCCCAAAACTGGTTCATTCCCAACAACCGGAAGGTCATTCCCTACTGACCGTTGAATCCAGTTTGATCGAAGCACGCGGAAATTCGAAACACCCGATTGAAACAACCCCTGATTTGGTTTCCTGATTTCCATTTATGCCACTGGAAGTGAAACTTTTAGCAGGAGATCTGAGGACAGGCCAGGTGGGTGTGTCTTTTGAGTTGTTCTTTCTTGTGCACATGGAGAACAAAGGAACACACCCCAGCGCAGGGTCCCCAGTGACACATACCCAAATACACCTCACCTTTTGGGGGAAAGCACACCGACCTCCAGAAACACCTTTTTGGGACGACTAAAATGAACCAAAGCTGCAGGGGTGTTTGGGCAGGGGTTGCATATATATCTTTAAGTTAGTTTGGCAAACGAAATAGATTGGTTCCGCCAGTTTACCTTGGCTTTATAAGCCAGTTACCAGGGAAACCCACCATTTCTCGCCAAACGGTTGCCTATGGCACGTGGTTTCTTCTGGTTTACCTCCGAGCCTCCCTAAGGCCGACTTCAAACTTTGGGAGTGGCAACTTCACGGTTGGATCTTGTTAGGTGTTCAGATGTTTGGGTTCTGCTCATTTCTGGCGTCAACAAACTGCCAGTTGTTTGCAAGCCCACAGGGTTGTGAAGAAAACTACTGTCATTGGTGGAGCCAGTGCCATGCTTCACTGTTTCGGACCACCTGGTGGCAATGCTGACTTTGTTTGCCACATCCGCTCCATCGGAGGTCAGGAGTATGGACTCCATCTGATTAACACAACCATGGGTACTCCCACGTGCTCGGATTTCTGTACATCGGGGTTCCTTAAAGGATGCATCCAAGCACAACCTGCGTTACAAGGGGATCCTCTAACATTGCTTGGTAAAAGTCATGTGTTAACTGGCCCCAGCTGATTCTAGGACCCTGACTACTCCAGGCCCGAAAGCCCTGCAAGCGGATTTTAGTACACAGAAACCCTCAAAACCGACGGCACGCCGCGTGTCATGGTTGCTTATGCAGTCGTTGACAGGAGTAGACAAACAGTTCTTGGATTTCTGGTTGCCTTTCTGTTCTCTCGGAAGCGGTTGGGAAGATTCCCTTCGGGTTCTTGACCTGGTTTTCTTCTACGGAAGTTCGCCGGGTTCTGTGTTTCTCCAAAAGAAACCTGTAATAACCCCTGTTTAACCCCGTCCAAGCCCTAAACCCACCCACCTTTCGACCGAACTTCGGGATGGGAAGCCCCAAATCCGAAAGCCCGCCGCTTCTCAGCTCAGCCAAGGAGCTGCTCTCGGAGAGGGCGGATCCCAACACCCCGGACAACGAGAGCCGCTGGCCCCTGCAGCAAGCGGCCTTCGCCGGGGAGGCGGAAAAGCGAGAAAAAAAAAACGGGCATTCGACTCCGCGCGTGTCCCGTAAGGGAATTTCCGGGGTGTGGTGAGATTGTGTCAAAACCGTATTGGGATCCCATTTTTGGGGGGCTTGGTGAATTCACCACCCATTTTAGAACTTTTTTTGGTGGGGATTGGGATGCTCACTGGGGGTACGGGGTTTTGACCCATGGCGATATATTTCTCCGAGGTAAACGGGGCTACTGTGTTTCCCTTTAAAGGGAACCCGGTGGTAAACATCCACCCCAAAAAGGCAAATTCGAAGTGACTTGTGCTTGAGTATGGGGAGCAATACTGCGAGAAAAACACACCCAAATTGAGGAGGGAAGGGTTCTGAAGCTGACCCAGTTCTGCTCGGAACCCGAAAGATGAGTTCATTCGCAGGCCGTCGCGGCAAAGTGTTGATGTTTGAGGAAACCCTGAAATGAGTGCTGCTCAAAACCAGGGTGCGGGGGGGCGGGGGGGACATCGACTTAAGCCAAGACACCATGACACGGCAGCGTCAATGAGTGGATGTTGGAACAACTGCGGCTCCTTGCCTCACGGACACTTGGCATGCAGTTTCTCTCGATTCACAGGGCGTCATCCATCCCAACTGATCTACCAGTGCCATCTATTTGTTGAGGACACCTTTGCTCACTGCAATGTGAAAGAGAGGCAACTCCTCCCTGGCAAATTCACATTGAACCCGCAACCCAAAAGGAGATTCGTCCAAAACGTAATGTGTTTTCGGAGGATTCCATTTACATCTGGAGGGGTGAATAACCCTTGGAGGGAGTAACCAAGGGTTATTCACCCCTGACCCCTGGGTCTTCGGGGGTCCCTATATGAAAGTGATGACCACCAGTTTCCTTTTGCCCGAAGGCGGACGTCGTGTCCTTGCTTCTGGAGGCGCGTGCAAACCCGAACTTGCCAGATGAGGGTGACCGGGCGATACACGTGTCCAGCTGGCAGGGGGACAAGAAGGTGACCACCATGCTGCCAGACTTCCATAGCGGAATAGGTGGGTTC